TTACTTTGAATTACAATGAAAAAAATAATTACATCCGCTACGGTTGATATCATAAACAAGTCGAAAATTGTGTTTTTCTTAGACATGAATATATTTCTGCCCCGAATTCAAAGGATATGACAGCCATTTTTGCCAATTTGCCATTTTGACAGCTTCATCTGGACAGGCAAAAAATACCTAATTGCGATTTAAATGGCGGTGATACCGTTTGAAACTTAAAGTATTATTTTCAATAGGTACACACAGAAGCGAATATGCTACTAGAAGCCACACTGTGACGTATCTTAATAATCACATACCATTCTCCTTTTGTAAACTTTTAACAAATCCACCCAATACCAATATTGCAATATCATTACAGTGTCCGAAGAATTAAAAAAATAAAAACGTCATATTTGACAGAACTAGAGTAGCTTAGATGTCGATATTAAAATATCGATAAATTCAGAATTAAACAAAACATTAAGGAACTCTGAAATAATATTGCAGTATTTATTCGAGCGTTTAGTTTAACATTTGTTTCGCTAAACGCTGAAGTCAATATAATATTTAGCCTTAGATTCATTTTTAACCGCGTCGCGAAGACAATAGAAAGCAATACTGAATGCGGTTAAAAGTGAAACAGTCTTACATTCCAGTTCATTGCACAATCAAGTTTGGAGGTTAAATTACCTGCACAGAATTGAACACATCGATTGGATTATATTTTCATGTAAAATGGTTCCAAACAATCGTTATTTGTTTTATAACAGTTCTTATTAAATGCTATAGCAGTGACACTGACCAACTCGAACTTAACCTGCCAATTTTTAAACGTAAGTAATGCCAGTCTTAAATGCACTGTAACGCCTCAGATATTTTAAGTTACTAACCAAATTGGTACTAAGTATGTTGAATTTTTTTTATAGTGGCGGCATTCCGAAAACTGGCGGCGCCTATAAGTAAATATGTGGCTTATGCCGATCATCATATTAATGTTGTCTGATATCCACTTTTGCAGCGATTTTTCTCACTCACAGATGTCAAGGAAAGCTTTGCTGGCGTCACTGTAATAGCATGTAATAAGATACGTAATATATCTTATGTTGATAGATAAGGACTGCTATTATTATTACAACTAAAAGTGTGGAAGGTAAACTAAAACTACTTAAATAGTGCAGTCAACAGGTCAGATTTTTAAACTTACGCTTTACATTGTAATTGCAATAAATTGTAAGGAAGGAGTATTAACGCGTATAGGCGAATATTTTCACCTACCTATATTTCCCGATATTTCGACCGAGTTACAACGCATTCGTTAATCCCATTTCCGTAAAATTTATATCAGTTTTTTTTTTCAATTAATCTTCTAATATTGTAAGCGGCAAAAAATTTTTTTGGTGTTTATAAAATCAGTAACTTTGTACTGATTACACTACTATTTTTATATTATCTCAAAATAATATAATATAATAAATATTCCTTGGACTTGGCTTTTTACAAATACAAAAGGCTAATTTAGTTTGATTGAATACTGCTTATTTAAAACTAAAAACTTCCCAAGCAATTAATATTTAACTGTACATGGATTCATATGTAACAATCTGGTGGCTCAATAAAGTCGTATCTTGCAATTAGTCCTTTTTATTTTAAAATTAAGAGTTGTTACATTAATTTTATCCATTTTGTAAACGGAGAGGGCTATAATTTCATAGATATATATATTTATTAACTCATATCAAATTATTATCAATATATTCAACTACAGTTATGGTTTATTCAAAATACCTTTTTGTTTAAATTCGGAAATTCTGATATTGAAAAATGGCTGGTCCAATGTTTGATACGATACATAAACTAAAATTAAACAGAGTCCATAGTTAAATGTGTTAATTATATTACGCTAAAAACGGAAATCATTTAAAAGAGTATGAAAACATTGATTCATAAAAAGATTAAAGATATAAGAAAACTCGATTCAAATTAATATACACACTAATGCCAAGAAAAATAATATAATCATGACATTGTATCATAAATGCTAGAGATAGATCAATTCCGTTTTATATAAATTAAATTAAATATTTATTGATAACTCGCCGACTAAAAATTTCCACCAAAGACGACTTTCTAATTATTTTCTGACCCCTTTAGGCATTCGTGGCGAAAACATATATTATAAATATTAATTATAATATATGTAGTAGGTTAAGTCAACCCATTTAGGTGCATCAGTTTTCTACGTGTTCATCCCTTTAAATGATAAAATTTTCACCTACGAGCCCTCTAGAACTAAAACTTCAATTAGCATTCTGAACCGCTACTAACTTTAATAATATAGCATTATCAACAGCACAAGAGAGACAGAAATATTACACAGTTGTGTATTACACAGTTGTGTAATATTTCTTTGTCCAATGTTAAACTTGAATACTCTGTAAATAGAATTTGAAAACTATTAGATGTTTACAATAATCTAATGAGTGCATATTGGCGTTTTATTTCACATCTAAAATAATAAAGGGCTTTTAAATTAGCAATGACCACTCTTTCCATCAAAACACGTCAACTACATGTTCTGTTCTTATTTTCCTATAGACATAGGTCAAATAACTCGATGTTGACCAAAAATTCTACACTCCATTTTATTAATATCGATACAAAGGAGTTCTCTTTCTCATCTCTAAATTAAAATTAAAAACATAATATCTACCTCCCCGTCTGTTCACTCAAATAGAACAAGGAAAGAGGATATGGTACAAAATTTTTATAAACAAATCTGTCAAATTTCTCAATTGATTTTAAACTTTAGAGTTGAAAATCAATTGCGGACTCGATCGATGTGAATTTTTTTTATCAATCAATTCTACCTACTTTTTAGTTTAACTACATACACCATGTAGTATACATGTAAATTACAAGCAAAAAATAGTTTAATATACAAATAAATATTATTATCTTATTTTCTAAAAAGAAAATTCAAACTAAAACTGTTTCAGAGTTATTATGAATTTATATAAGTAATTGTAATTCCCTTGTTTTAAACATCGATCAATTTGACGTATTTTTTTTAAATTTTAATTCTGATAGCGATGTCTTTAAATTTGTATACCGGTTTCGATAATTATTATAAAATACTAAATATTAAATATCTATTACATCAATCACAACATTTAAGAACAATTATACAGTAAATCTCAATTAATTAATACAGTAAGATACAACTGATGTGTCTTAAATGTGAATTTTAGAGATGCGCCTAATAGTGAAACCGGATATTCGGCCTATTATTTTACTATTTTGACAAGGTTTAAAAACAAATGTTGATTTGAATTTTAATTGCTTTATTTTATAAGCTTTATTGAACATATTCTTCATATAATTTTTTTGACTTATAATATAACATAAATCTAACATAAGAAGTTCTGTCTTTTAGTACTGTACAGTGTCGTGTAGCCACTGTATAGTACTAACACCGATCATTCCGTAAAACCGATAATGCGGCCGAATACAAATAGTAAAAAAAATACCGAATACGCAGAATACCAATTACCGAACGAATATTCGGTGCATCTCTAATAAATATTGTAGCACGTCTAATGTCGACCAATCAGAATGCTTCAAGAATCAGACCATCAAACGATCCACCAATATCCACGCATGCGTTGTATTTTACACCTTACATTTATTAAAATAAAGCTGACTATTTTAAACGCAATTCTGGTCTGTGCTAAAGAATATTCACAATGCATATTAGTTAGGATTTACTGTAATAATTTTCGTGTCGAATATCATTGTTATTAACTGAACTAACTCGAAATAAAGAAAAAAAACATAGACAATAATTTTCCCGCCAATTTTATTAGTACGTCACATTACATGCATAATAATCTCTGTTTTAAACATAGATTTTACACCAAAATGATAATCTACCCAATATTGTTTATATCTTAATTTCAGTCCAATAAGCGTATCTTTTACTTCTTCAATCCACCGACGAGTCTGAATCGTCGTTCTTGGTTAGAATATAGAAGGCGATGACGGGAATCGAACCTAACACCATACAGGATCCCATGCCGTAGAAACACCATGAGTAACCACCTGTCACATCTCTGACGAGACCTGTAAAATATTATATTTAAAATCATAGGCTTAGACAACGTCCAAAAAACTAGTTAAGTGCGAGTCGAACTGGCGCGCGAATGAGGAAGTATTAAAAAAAACATTAGTACCCGAAATCAAACTAGATGTCGCTACGGTACTTTCTTGATTTCTCTATGACAACTCTACCGGTTTTCTTTCATGTATAAAGGTAAATTAATTTTCAAAACTCTGTAAACAACTTATATTCTACTTGTACTTTTTCGTATTTCTATTGATATCTTTTCGAACTTTGCAAATATCAGTTTTTTAATATGTTAGTTAAAAGGAATGGAAATTACTATATTTGGTCCGTTCGTTTCCTGCAAGAATCAACTTTTGCTAGAGTCGCCATCTAGTGGAGGCATTATTAGTGCTTTCGTTTTTATATAAACCGGAAGGGTTGTCATGGAGAGATCAAGAACGCATCGTAGCGAAATCTAGTTTGATAGGAACTAATGTTTTTTTTTAATAATTCCTCATTAGAAATGGCGAATTTGTTATGTCGAACAAAAATTAATGAAAACGAATGCTCAACGAGACGGACGATTCAAGAATAGTGCTCCCGAGCCCCCGCAGAGGGGAAGTAAAAAGGCTGATGACGACGATGACGTAGGAATGAGTCTTTCGCAGAATGAGGTATTATGCGAAAAGGTCTATTAAAGAATAGGTCATTTCGAGAATAGGTCGTTTTTTTTGGCGTAAGCTATTTCGCGAATTGGTACAATATCTACTATTGATTTATTATGATATAGAAATGGTGAATTTGTTATGTCGAACGAAAATCGAGTGAAAACGAGTGCTCGACGAGAATAGAATAGTGTTCCTGAGCCCCCGCAATGGGGACGATGACGTATAAAAGGTACGGCGGCGGCACTGACCGGCGGTGGGCGGCACGGAGACGGCGGCGAGGCTCTGGAACATGCGCACGAGCCCGTAGGAGGAGGCGATGCGCGCGGTGCCGAACGCGTCCGCCAGCAGCACCGGCACCAGCAGGAACCAGCAGCCCAGGCACAGCCCGTACGCACCTGACGCGTGACGCAATATGCATTACGCATTACTTCCGTCATTGGATAGTTTCGGTAGTGAAACATAAGTGGCGGAAATAAACATACTCTGGTTTTGAGTCTTAGACATCGGATGAGTTTCAAAACTACTGGACCTATTTTAAGAATTCTTACACCCACAGGAAGCTACATAATATGTGATGAACATAGGCCATATTTTATCCAGGAAAACAGCAAATAAGCAGAGGTTTGTATAGGGACCTAAAAATACAATTTTTAACCATACTAACCATTTTTTACTATTTAAATTGGCATTGTGATTATATCAGTGTCGTGATATGAAACCTTATCCAAATGAAATATTAAATAAATCCTAAGCCAGGATAAACATATGGGCTACTTTTTATCCCGCTGAACAGTTCCCTAGAAACCACGCAAGTGAAGTTGGAGGAAAACTAGTTTGGTTTGTAAGTGAATAAAAAAAAAAACAAATTAATGAAACAACGTCTAATTCTATATTCCTTTATTTCGTTCGTCAACTTTCGTAGTTTTTCTCATTACATATTTGGGTACTAGAACAATAAAGTTTATCACTTACATAGCAGGGTTCGGAATGATAATTATCTTAATAATTTGTATAACACCACACAAACTCTTTGCGTACTTTAGAACTTGTTATTAAAGGGTAATAATCTTTTACCAAGATCAAATATGGCTTTTTTGATATAGAAAATAGGGATGATGACTAATTTTTGTTTGTTTGTCCGTCAGGTAGAGTGTTAAAAAATATTAAACACGTATTTTTTTATTTTTTCGGTCATAAAATTACAGCGTTACATTGAGTCGACATTTCGCATGACGTCACGTTATGGTACGTTTTCTACTCAACTGTGACGTAGCGAGCCCCCACTCCTCAACTTTAATGCCTGTTATCTAAGCTATATCTTGTTAAATTGAAGTAAAAAAAAATACGTATCTAATATTTTTCTATTATCTGACTGACGGACTAAATAGAATTGCATTTTTTTTACCCAGTCATCATCCCTAGTGACTAGGACGATTTTCATTTTATTCAATGTGGTTTGAATATATTTTAATAATTTAAAGCAACAAAAATCAAAATTATTTATGCTTTTCTGTATTTTAAAATTTGTTGCCAGTAACCACCGATAATTATCGGATATTTATCAAAAAAGTAATTATCTTGGTAATTACAAACCCTGTTAGCATATAGAGTTTAATATCAATTACAGGATCCTCACCTCATTATGGCAAATATGTCAATTAATATCGGTCATTCAAAAACTTGTGTTTGTATTATTATTAATTTAAAGAATTTAATCTACCATTTATATATATGTATTTTTTAATGTTACCAGTACCCAATACCACCAAAAAAACTAATAGACGAAGAGCTAGTGACAAAAATGTGCAAGAGCTTTCTAAAGCTTGACATTATGTTGTCAGTATGTTGAAGTACCGGTGCGGAGGTCAAGTGCTAGAACACCTGATGGCGGCCGGGCAATGTGGAATACCAAAAATCGTAACATAGATTAACACTGAAATATCAAGCTTTAGAAACTTGCACATTTTTGTCACGGTCTCTGAGACTATAAATCATTAAGATATTATTTTAATACATATATAGGTAATATATTAATTATTAGTCCAGTCAGAGTAATTCAAAGAAGATCAATGTGGTGTCAGTTTTGGCTCAAGATTTGGCCGATGCAAAATTAGGGAAACAGCTTAATAAATATAACTAGATGGTTGACACGTAAAGACGAGATTAAAAAAAAATTAAAGACTTAGGTACAGAAACATGAATAGCTTGAAGTATAACAATGATTTTATATTAATTATCGAAATTAAATCATTTCATGTACAGATTTATTGAATACATACCACGATGACTTAAATTTTCCAAAAAATCTTATTTCACACGAAGTAATAAGAAAAAAAAAAATTGTCGTTGACAGATTGACAACATTTGCAAGATGAAATAGATTGCCATCAGATTTCTGAAAACAAAAAGAACTTATTCTGCAATATAAAAGACGCATGAATCATTCTAGCATCAATTAGCACCAAATTATCGATCTAACCAAATTCGCGAGTTGAACTGACGCCGGATTGATCGTCTATTGGCAGCCTTATGTTAAGTAATGTTTCTTGTGACATTTATATGACAGATACGTTTAGAAACTAATTATTGTAAAAATAGCGCTCTGAAGAGGAACGTTATTTGTAGTTAACATTTTGATTTTTTAAAATCACATTTAAGCGTTAATAACGCTGAAATATTACTTTGAATTACAATGAAAAAAATAATTACATCCGCTACGGTTGATATCATAAACAAGTCGAAAATTGTGTTTTTCTTAAACATGAATATATTTCTGCCCCGAATTCAAAGGATATGACAGCCATTTTTGCAATTTGCCATTTTGACAGCCATTTGGACAGGCAAAAAATACCTAATTGCGATTTAAATGGCGGTGATACCGTTTGAAACTTAAAGTATTATTTTCAATAGGTACACACAGAAGCGAATATGCTACTAGAAGCCACACTGTGACGTATCTTAATAATCACATACCATTCTCTTTTTGTAAACTTTTAACAAATCCACCCAATACCAATATGCAATATATTAGTGTCCGAAATTAAAAAAATAAAAACGTCATATTTGACAGAACTAGAGTAGCTTAGATGTCGATATTAAAATATCGATAAATCCAGAATCAAACAAAACATTAAGGAACTCTGAAATAATATTGCAGTATTTATTCGAGCGTTTAGTTTAACATTTGTTTCGCTAAACGCTGAAGTCAATATAATATTTAGCCTTAGATTCATTTTTAACCGCGTCGCGAAGACAATAGAAAGCAATACTGAATGCGGTTAAAAGTGAAACAGTCTTACATTCCAGTTCATTGCACATCAAGTTTGGAGGTTAAATTACCTGCACAGAATTGAACACATCGATTGGATTATATTTTCATGTAAAATGGTTCCAAACAATCGTTATTTGTTTTATAACAGTTCTTATTAAATGCTATAGCAGTGACACTGACCAACTAGAACTTAACCCTCCCAATGTCTTTTAAACGTAAGTAACTGCCAGTCTTAAATGCACTGTGACGCCTCAGATATTTTAAGTTACTAACCAAATTGGTACTAAGTATGTTGAATAAATATATATAGTGGCGGCATATCCGAAATCTGGCGGCGCCTATAAGTAAATATGTGGCTTATGCCGATCATCATATTAATGTAGTCTGATATCCACTTTTGCAGCGATTTTTCTCACTCGCAGATGTCAAGGAAAGCTTTGCTGGCGTCACTGTAATAGCATGTAATAAGATACGTAATATATCTTATGTTGATAGATAAGGACTGCTATTATTATTACAACTAAAAGTGTGGAAGGTAAACTAAAACTACTTAAATAGTGCAGTCAACAGGTCAGATTTTTAAACTTACGCTTTACATTGTAATTGCAATAAATTGTAAGGAAGGAGTATTAACGCGTATAGGCGAATATTTTCACCTACTTACCTATATTTCCCGATATTTCGACCGAGTTACAACGCATTCGTTAATCCCATTTCCGTAAAATTTATATCAGTTTTTTTTTTCCAATTAATCTCTAATATTGTAAGCGGCAAAAAATATTTTTGTGGTAAATAAACTCAGTAACTTTGTACTGATGACACTACTATTTTTATATTATCTCAAAATAATATAATATAATAAATATTCCTTGGACTTGGCTTTTTACAAATACAAAAGGCTAATTTAGTTTGATTGAATACTGCTTATTTAAACTAAAAACTTCCCAAGCAATTAATATTTAACTGTACATGGATTCATATGTAACAATCTGGTGGCTCAATAAAGTCGTATCTTGCAATTAGTCATCATATGATATTGCAATTAGTCCTTTATATTTTAAAATTAAGAGTTGTTACATTAATTTTATCCATTTTGTAAACGGAGAGGGCTATAATTTCATAGATATATATATTTATTATCTCATATCGAATTATTATCAATATATTCAACTACAGTTATGGTTAATTCGAAATACCTTTTTGTTTAAATTCGGAAATTCTGATATTGAAAAATGGCTGGTCCAATGTTTGATACGATACATAAACTAAAATTAAACAGAGTCCATAGTTAAATGTGTTAATTATATTACGCTAAAAACGGAAATCATTTAAAAGAATATGAAAACATTGATTCATAAAAAGATTAAAGATATAAGAAAACTCGATTCAAATTAATATACACACCTAATGCCAAGAAAAATAATATAATCGTGACATTGTATCATAAATGCTAGAGATAGATCAATTCCGTTTTATATAAATTAAATTAAATATTTATTGATAACTCGCCGACTAAAAATTTCCACCAAAGACGACTTTCTAATTATTTTCTGACCCCTTTAGGCATTCGTGGCGAAAACATATATTATAAATATTAATTATAATATATGTAGTAGGTTAAGTCAACCCATTTAGGTGCATCAGTTTTCTACGTGTTCATCCCTTTAAATGATAAAATTTTCACCTACGAGCCCTCTAGAACTAAAACTTCAATTAGCATTCTGAACCGCTACTAACTTTAATAATATAGCATTATCAACAGCACAAGAGAGACAGAAATATTACACAGTTGTGTATTACACAGTTGTGTAATATTTCTTTGTCCAATGTTAAACTTGAATACTCTGTAAATAGAATTTGAAAACTATTAGATGTTTACAATAATCTAATGAGTGCATATTGGCGTTTTATTTCACATCTAAAATAATAAAGGGCTTTTAAATTAGCAATGACCACTCTTTCCATCAAAACACGTCAACTACATGTTCTGTTCTTATTTTCCTATAGACATAGGTCAAATAACTCGATGTTGACCAAAAATTCTACACTCCATTTTATTAATATCGATACAAAGGAGTTCTCTTTCTCATCTCTAAATTAAAATTAAAAACATAATATCTACCTCCCCGTCTGTTCACTCAAATAGAACAAGGAAAGAGGATATGGTACAAAATTTTTATAAACAAATCTGTCAAATTTCTCAATTGATTTTAAACTTTAGAGTTGAAAATCAATTGCGGACTCGATCGATGTGAATTTTTTTAATCAATCAATTCTACCTACTTTTTAGTTTAACTACATACACCATGTAGTATACATGTAAATTACAAGCAAAAAATAGTTTAATATACAAATAAATATTATTATCTTATTTTCTAAAAAGAAAATTCAAACTAAAACTGTTTCAGAGTTATTATGAATTTATATAAGTAATTGTAATTCCCTTGTTTTAAACATCGATCAATTTGACGTATTTTTTTTAAATTTTAATTCTGATAGCGATGTCTTTAAATTTGTATACCGGTTTCGATAATTATTATAAAATACTAAATATTAAATATCTATTACATCAATCACAACATTTAAGAACAATTATACAGTAAATCTCAATTAATTAATACAGTAAGATACAACTGATGTGTCTTAAATGTGAATTTTAGAGATGCGCCTAATAGTGAAACCGGATATTCGGCCTATTATTTTACTATTTTGACAAGGTTTAAAAACAAATGTTGATTTGAATTTTAATTGCTTTATTTTATAAGCTTTATTGAACATATTCTTCATATAATTTTTTTGACTTATAATATAACATAAATCTAACATAAGAAGTTCTGTCTTTTAGTACTGTACAGTGTCGTGTAGCCACTGTATAGTACTAACACCGATCATTCCGTAAAACCGATAATGCGGCCGAATACAAATAGTAAAAAAAATACCGAATACGCAGAATACCAATTACCGAACGAATATTCGGTGCATCTCTAATAAATATTGTAGCACGTCTAATGTCGACCAATCAGAATGCTTCAAGAATCAGACCATCAAACGATCCACCAATATCCACGCATGCGTTGTATTTTACACCTTACATTTATTAAAATAAAGCTGACTATTTTAAACGCAATTCTGGTCTGTGCTAAAGAATATTCACAATGCATATTAGTTAGGATTTACTGTAATAATTTTCGTGTCGAATATCATTGTTATTAACTGAACTAACTCGAAATAAAGAAAAAAAAACATAGACAATAATTTTCCCGCCAATTTTATTAGTACGTCACATTACATGCATAATAATCTCTGTTTTAAAACATAGATTTTACACCAAAATGATAATCTACCCAATATTGTTTATATCTTAATTTCAGTCCAATAAGCGTATCTTTTACTTCTTCAATCCACCGACGAGTCTGAATCGTCGTTCTTGGTTAGAATATAGAAGGCGATGACGGGAATCGAACCTAACACCATACAGGATCCCATGCCGTAGAAACACCATGAGTAACCACCGGTCACATCTCTGACGAGACCTGTAAAATATTAAATTTAAAATCATAGGCTTAGACAACGTCCAAAAAACTAGCTAAGTGCGAGTCGAACTGGCGCGCGAATGAGGAAGTATTAAAAAAAAACATTAGTACCCGAAATCAAACTAGATGTCGCCACGGTACTTTCTTGATTTCTCCATGACAACCCTACCGGTTTTCTTTCATGCATAAAGGTAAATTAATTTTCAAACCTCTGTGCATGAACAGACTGAAAGAAACTACTAGATAGCGACTTCGTAGTTCAAAAGTTGATATCTTGTCAGGAAACGAATGGACCAAAGACAGTCACTTCGTTCCTTTTAACTATGATAGTTAAAAGGAACTGGAAATTAGCAATAGTTCGGACCGTTCGATATCACTGCAAGAATACGAACAAGTGCAAGAGTCGCCAACTAGTGGAGTTGCATTATTGAGTTTGAAACTAATTTACGTTTTATACATGAAAGAAAACCGGAAGGGTTGTCATGGAGAGATCAAGAACGCACCGTAGCGACATCTAGTTTGATAGGAACTAATGTTTTTTTTTAATAATTCCTCATTAGAAATGGCGAATTTGTTATGTCGAACAAAAATTAATGAAAACGAATGCTCAACGAGACGGACGATTCAAGAATAGTGCTCCCGAGCCCCCGCAGAGGGGAAGTAAAAAGGCTGATGACGACGATGACGTAGGAATGAGTCTTTCGCAGAATGAGGTATTATGCGAAAAGGTCTATTAAAGAATAGGTCATTTCGAGAATAGGTCGTTTTTTTTGGCGTAAGCTATTTCGCGAATTGGTACAATATCTACTATTGATTTATTATGATATAGAAATGGTGAATTTGTTATGTCGAACGAAAATCGAGTGAAAACGAGTGCTCGACGAGAATAGAATAGTGTTCCTGAGCCCCCGCAATGGGGACGATGACGTATAAAAGGTACGGCGGCGGCACTGACCGGCGGTGGGCGGCACGGAGACGGCGGCGAGGCTCTGGAACATGCGCACGAGCCCGTAGGAGGAGGCGATGCGCGCGGTGCCGAACGCGTCCGCCAGCAGCACCGGCACCAGCAGGAACCAGCAGCCCAGGCACAGCCCGTACGCACCTGACGCGTGACGCAATATGCATTACGCATTACTTCCGTCATTGGATAGTTTCGGTAGTGAAACATAAGTGGCGGAAATAAACATACTCTGGTTTTGAGTCTTAGACTTTATTTATTAAGATACAAAACAGGATATAATAGGGTATTTGACGTTATTCTGAAGACTATTTAAAATGGTTGTTTGATACATTATAAACACACTGTCAATATATTTCATGAGAATCTGTTCTATTTTTGATGAAAATAATTGTTAAAGTTTAAATAGCCAAAATCGCGAGAAAAACGCTGCTGTATGTAATGGCGCTAATTACGTGGTATTAGTGACGTCACATGGCGGTAAATGTGACATCGATTTCAGTGTCGTGACGCTAAAGACATCAGCGTCGGTGACGTCAATATAGTTGTCGTTTCGTCATTGCGAGTATCGGGACTGACACTCGCACAGAAGTCACTACACTTACATCGACGTCACGACACTCACACGCTGATGTCTTTAACGTATGACACTGACATTACTTTAACGTATGACATATGACACTGAAATCGATGTCACGACACTCACATAATGTCATGACTCTGACAAAAATCACGACAACTTCTTCGACATCACTTTACCTCATTCGATCACGACACATACATCGACGTCACGACACTCATACGACACTCACATCGACTTCAACTACACACAAGTCGATGTCCCGACACTCACATCGACTTCGACCTCGATGTCAAGACACTTACACAGACTTCGCGACACTCACAAAAACTTCACGACACTCACACTCACGTCGATGTCGCGACACTCACGTCGAAGTCGCGATACTCACCTCGATGTCACTGACATTCACGTTGATGTCATGCCACTCACATCGACTTCAACTACACGCAAGTGGATGTCCCGATCCCTGTCGATGTCACGACACTCGTCGATGTCATGACACTCTCATTGCCATTACTGACACTAACAAAGATGTCACGACACACATCGAATCGATGTTGCGACACTCACACAGACATCGACGTCGATGTCATGACACTCGGACAGAGGTAACGACATTCACATCGTCGTTACTCACGACGATACATCGACATCGACGTCGATATCATGATACTCACACAAATGTCACGACACTCTCATCGACGTCGAATCCACGACACTCACGACGTAACCGACACTGACGTCGATGCCACGACACTCGCTCAGACGTCACGACAACTACATCGACGTCACCGACACTGACGTAGTTGATGTCTCGACACTCACACAATGAGGAAGTATTTAAAAAAAAAAATTAGTTCCCGAAATCAAACTAGATGTCGCTACGGTACGTTCTTGATTTCTCCATGACAACCTTTCCGATTTTCTTTCATGTCTAAAAGTGAATTAATTTTCAAAACTCAATAAACAACTCTTATTCTATTTGTACTTTTTCGTATTTGTATTGATATCTAAGTTCCGAACTTTGCAAATTTCAGTTTTTTAATATGTTAATTAAAAGGAACGGAAATTACTACCTTTGGTCCATTCGTTTCCTGCAAAAATCAAGTTTTGCTAGAGTCGCCATCTAGTGGAGGTGCTTTTTAGTGCTTTAATTTTTTTTTTAAATACCTTCTCATTGATTTTGATGATGTTTGAAAATCACACCGACACCAATACACTAACATCGACATAACTTTATTGACTTTACCTTATTTTAGATAATCATAATTATCATCAAACTAATTAAACATTATCACTACTCAAGTAATCATATTATTTTGACATAATTCACCGTGCGAGCGAGCCCATTGCGGATTGGTAGGTGTTTACAACTACAAAAGCATGTAGTGTCAATTTTTGTGAATAAATTTTTGAGGACCCATCCTACGACTGACCTTTGAGAAAGTTGAAGACCGGAAACACTCACGACTTCACCATGAAACTCTGTCTATGTCTTTACTAATATTATAAAGAGAAACATTTAATAGTTTGCATCGGATGAGTTCCAAAACTACTGAACCTATTTTAAGAATTCTTACACCCACGGGAAGCTACATAATATGCAATGAACATAGGCTATATTTTATCCAGGAAAACAGCAAATAAAAGGATAAATATTGGAGCAGAAGTTTGTAAAGGGACTTAAAAATACCATTTTAACCATACTAACCATTTTTTACTATTTAAATTGGCATTGTGATTATATCAGTGTCGTGATATGAAACCTTATCCAAATGAAATAATAAATAAATCCTAAGCCAGGATAAACATATGGGCTACTTTTTATCCCGCTAAACAGTTCCCTAGAAACCACGCAAGTGAAGTTGGCGGTAAACTAGTTTGGTTTATAGGTGAATAAAAAAAAAACAAATTAATGAAACAACATCTAATTCTATATTCCTTTATTTCGTTCGTCAACTTTCGTAGTTTTTCTCATTACATATTTGGGTACTAGAACAATAAAGTTTATCACTTACATAGCAGGGTTCGGAATGTTAGTTATCTTAATAATTTGTAAAACACCACACAAACTCTTTGCGTACTTTAGAACTTGTTATTCAAGGGGAATAATCTTTTAACAACTATCAAATGTTTTTTTTTTTATATAGAGAATTGTCTAGGAGAGCCACACTCAACCTTTTTTTTAATGGGGCACAAACATGTTTCAATCTTGAAGCGCAAGCCGCAAAAATATGTAGGTGTTAAAAAAACATAATCCCAAAGTGGCTATTATATATATATTTATTGAAAAAAGAAAAGGTGGTCACAATAAAGCCAACTATACAATACATAATTTTGTAACCTTTATAATATTAGGTTATGATGAAGTAATGATGATGACCCAACTTTGATAGAGCAAACTTTCAACAATTTTTCTGATGGGCGCGACATTTTAAAACTTAGTCAAAGTTTTAAAATTCCAAGTGGGCCAATCACAAAGGCCCGGCGGGCCGCAGGTTGAGTATGGCTGGTCTAGGACGATTTTCATTTTATTCAATGTGGTTTGAATATATTTTAATGATTTAAAGCAACAAAAATAAAAGTTATTTAAGCCTTTCTGTATTTTAAAATTTGTAACCAGTAACCACCGATAATTATCAGATATTTATCAATAATTATCAAAAAAGTAATTATCTTGATAATTACAAACCCTGTTAGCATATAGAGTTTAATATCAATTACAGGATCCTCAGCACATTATGGCAAATATGTCAATTAATATCGGTCATTCAAAAACTTGTGTTTGTATTATTATTAATTTAAAGAATTTAATCTACCATTTATATATATGTATTTTTTAATGTTACCAGTACCCAATACCACCAAAAAAACTAATAGACGAAGAGCTAGTGACAAAAATGTGCAAGAGCTTTCTAAAGCTTGACATTTCAGTATGTTGAAGTACCAGTGCGGAGGTCAGGTGCTAGAACACCTGATGGCGGCCGGGCAATGTGGAATACCAAAAATCGTAACATAGATTAACACTGAAATATCAAGCTTTAGAAACTTGCACATTTTTGTCACGGTCTCTGAGACTATAAATCATTAAGATATTATTTTAATACATATATAGGTAATATATTAATTATTAGTCCAGTCAGAGTAATTCAAAGAAGATCAATATGGTGTCAGTTTTGGCTCAAGATTTGGCCGATGCAAAATTAGGAAAACAGCTTAATAAATATAACTAGATGGTTGACACGTAAGACAGATTAAAAAATTTTTAGAAGACTTAGGAAAAGAAACATGAAAAGCTTAAAATATAACAATGATTTAATATTAATTATCGAAATTAAATTTACAACAGAAATAAAATTTGGAAATCATTTCATGTACAGATTTATTGAATACTTATATACTACGATGACAAATTTTCCAAAAAATCTTATTTCACACGAAGTAATAAGAAAAAAAAATTGAAAAAATTGTCGTTGACAGATTGATGACATTTGCAAGATGAAATAGATTGCCATCAGATTTCTGAAAACAAAAAGAACTTATTCTGCAATATAAAAGACGCATGAATCATTCTAGCATCAATTAGCACCAAATTATCGATCTAACCAAATTCGCGAGTTGAACTGACGCCGGATTGATCGTCTAGTGGCAGCCTTATGTTAAGTAATGTTTCTTGTGACATTTATATGACAGATACGTTTAGAAACTAATTATTGTAAAAATAGCGCTCTGAAGAGGAACGTTATTTGTAGTTAACATTTTGATTTTTTGAAATCACATTTAAGCGTTAATAACGCAGAAATATTACTTTGAATTACAATGAAAAAAATAATTACATCCGCTACGGTTGATATCATAAACAAGTCGAAAATTGTGTTTTTCTTAGACATGAATATATTTCTGCCCCGAATTCAAAGGATATGACAGCCATTTTTGCCAATGAGAAGCTTCATCGGAAGGCAAAAAATACCTAATTGCGATTTAAATGGCGGTGATACCGTTTGAAACTTAAAGTATTATTTTCAATAGGTACACACAGAAGCGAATATGCTACTAGAAGCCACACTGTGACGTATCTTAATAATCACATACCATTCTCCTTTTGTAAACTTTTAACAAATCCACCCAATACCAATATTGCAATATCATTACAGTGTCCGAAGAATTAAAAAAATAAAAACGTCATATTTGACAGAACTAGAGTAGCTTAGATGTCGATATTAAAATATCGATAAATTCAGAATTAAACAAAACATTAAGGAACTCTGAAATAATATTGCAGTATTTATTCGAGCGTTTAGTTTAACATTTGTTTCGCTAAACGCTGAAGTCAATATAATATTTAGCCTTAGATTCATTTTTAACCGCGTCGCGAAGACAATAGAAAGCAATACTGAATGCGGTTAAAAGTGAAACAGTCTTACATTCCAGTTCATTGCACAATCAAGTTTGGAGGTTAAATTACCTGCACAGAATTGAACACATCGATTGGATTATATTTTCATGTAAAATGGTTCCAAACAATCGTTATTTGTTTTATAACAGTTCTTATTAAATGCTATAGCAGTGACACTGACCAACTCGAACTTAACCCTGCCAATGTTTTAAACGTAAGTAATGCCAGTCTTAAATGCGCTGTAACGCCTCAGATATTTTAAGTTACTAACCAAATTGGTACTAAGTATGTTGAATATTTTTTTATAGTGGCGGCATTCCGAAAGCTGGCGGCGCCTATAAGTAAATATGTGGCTTATGCCGATCATCATATTAATGTTGTCTGATATCCACTTTTGCAGCGATTTTTCTCACTCACAGATCAAGTCAAGGAAAGCTTTGCTGGCGTCACTGTAATGGCACGTAATAAGATACGTAATATATCTTATGTTGATAGATAAGGACTGCTATTATTATTACAACTAAAAGTGTGGAAGGTAAACTAAAACTACTTAAATAGTGCAGTCAACAGGTCAGATTTTTAAACTTACGCTTTACATTGTAATTGCAATAAATTGTAAGGAAGGAGTATTAACGCGTATAGGCGAATATTTTCACCTACCTATATTTCCCGATATTTCGACCGAGTTACAACGCATTCGTTAATCCCATTTCCGTAAAATTTATATCAGTTTTTTTTTTCAATTAATCTTTAATATTGTAAGCGGCAAAAAATTTTTTTGGTGTTTATAAAATCAGTAACTTTGTACTGATTACACTACTATTTTTATATTATCTCAAAATAATATAATATAATAAATATTCCTTAGGACTTGGCTTTTTACAAATACAAAAGGCTAATTTAGTTTGCCTGAATACTGCTTATTTTAAACTAAAAACTTCCCAAGCAATTAATATTTAACTGTACATGGATTCATATGTAACAATCTGGTGGCTCAATAAAGTCGTATCTTGCAATTAGTCCTTTTTATTTAAAAATTAAGAGTTGTTACATTAATTTTATCCATTTTGTAAACGGAGAGGGCTATAATTTCATAGATATATATATTTATTAACTCATATCAAATTATTATCAATATATTCAACTACAGTTGTGGTCTATTCAAAATACCTTTTTGTTTAAATCCGGAAATTCTGATATTGAAAAATGGCTGATCCAATGTTTGATACGATACATAAACAAAAATTAAACAGAGTCCATAGTTAAATATGTTAATTATATTACGCTAAAAACGGAAATCATTTAAAAGAGTATGAAAACATTGATCCATAAAAAGATTAAAGATATAAGTAAACACGATTCAAATTAATATACACATCTAATGCCAAGAAAAATAATATAATCATGACATTGTATCATAAATGCTAGAGATAGATCAATTCCGTTTTATATAAATTAAATTAAATATTTATTGATAACTCGCCGACTAAAAATTTCCACCAAAGACGACTTTCTAATTATTTTCTGACCCCTTTAGGCATTCGTGGCGAAAACATATATTATAAATATTAATTATAATATATGTAGTAGGTTAAGTCAACCCATTTAGGTGCATCAGTTTTCTACGTGTTCATCCCTTTAAATGATAAAATTTTCACCTACGAGCCCTCTAGAACTAAAACTTCAATTAGCATTCTGAACCTCTACTAACTTTAATAATATAGCATTATCAACAGCACAAGAGAGACAGAAATATTACACAGTTGTGTATTACACAGTTGTGTAATATTTCTTTGTCCAATGTTAAACTTGAATACTCTGTAAATAGAATTTGAAAACTATTAGATGTTTACAATAATCTAATGAGTGCATATTGGCGTTTTATTTCACATCTAAAATAATAAAGGGCTTTTAAATTAGCAATGACCACTCTTTCCATCAAAACACGTCAACTACATGTTCTGTTCTTATTTTCCTATATACATAGGTCAAATAACTCGATGTTGACCAAAAATTCTACACTCCATTTTATTAATATCGATACAAAGGAGTTCTCTTTCTCATCTCTAAATTAAAATTAAAAACATAATATCTACCTCCCCGTCTGTTCACTCAAATAGAACAAGGAAAGAGGATATGGTACAAAATTTTTATAAACAAATCTGTCAAATTTCTCAATTGATTTTAAACTTTAGAGTTGAAAATCAATTGCGGACTCGATCGATGTGAATTTTTTTTATCAATCAATTCTACCTACTTTTTAGTTTAACTACATACACCATGTAGTATACATGTAAATTACAAGCAAAAAATAGTTTAATATACAAATAAATATTATTATCTTATTTTCTAAAAAGAAAATTCAAACTAAAACTGTTTCAGAGTTATTATGAATTTATATAAGTAATTGTAATTCCCTTGTTTTAAACATCGATCAATTTGACGTATTTTTTTTAAATTTTAATTCTGATAGCGATGTCTTTAAATTTGTATACCGGTTTCGATAATTATTATAAAATACTAAATATTAAATATCTATTACATCAATCACAACATTTAAGAACAATTATACAGTAAATCTCAATTAATTAATACAGTAAGATACAACTGATGTGTCTTAAATGTGAATTTTAGAGATGCGCCTAATAGTGAAACCGGATATTCGGCCTATTATTTTACTATTTTGACAAGGTTTAAAAACAAATGTTGATTTGAATTTTAATTGCTTTATTTTATAAGCTTTATTGAACATATTCTTCATATAATTTTTTTGACTTATAATATAACATAAATCTAACATAAGAAGTTCTGTCTTTTAGTACTGTACAGTGTCGTGTAGCCACTGTATAGTACTAACACCGATCATTCCGTAAAACCGATAATGCGGCCGAATACAAATAGTAAAAAAAATACCGAATACGCAGAATACCAATTACCGAACGAATATTCGGTGCATCTCTAATAAATATTGTAGCACGTCTAATGTCGACCAATCAGAATGCTTCAAGAATCAGACCATCAAACGATCCACCAATATCCACGCATGCGTTGTATTTTACACCTTACATTTATTAAAATAAAGCTGACTATTTTAAACGCAATTCTGGTCTGTGCTAAAGAATATTCACAATGCATATTAGTTAGGATTTACTGTAATAATTTTCGTGTCGAATATCATTGTTATTAACTGAACTAACTCGAAATAAAGAAAAAAAACATAGACAATAATTTTCCCGCCAATTTTATTAGTACGTCACATTACATGCATAATAATCTCTGTTTTAAACATAGATTTTACACCAAAATGATAATCTACCCAATATTGTTTATATCTTAATTTCAGTCCAATAAGCGTATCTTTTACTTCTTCAATCCACCGACGAGTCTGAATCGTCGTTCTTGGTTAGAATATAGAAGGCGATGACGGGAATCGAACCTAACACCATACAGGATCCCATGCCGTAGAAACACCATGAGTAACCACCTGTCACATCTCTGACGAGACCTGTAAAATATTATATTTAAAATCATAGGCTTAGACAACGTCCAAAAAACTAGTTAAGTGCGAGTCGAACTGGCGCGCGAATGAGGAAGTATTAAAAAAAACATTAGTACCCGAAATCAAACTAGATGTCGCTACGGTACTTTCTTGATTTCTCTATGACAACTCTACCGGTTTTCTTTCATGTATAAAGGTAAATTAATTTTCAAAACTCTGTAAACAACTTATATTCTACTTGTACTTTTTCGTATTTCTATTGATATCTTTTCGAACTTTGCAAATATCAGTTTTTTAATATGTTAGTTAAAAGGAATGGAAATTACTATATTTGGTCCGTTCGTTTCCTGCAAGAATCAACTTTTGCTAGAGTCGCCATCTAGTGGAGGCATTATTAGTGCTTTCGTTTTTATATAAACCGGAAGGGTTGTCATGGAGAGATCAAGAACGCATCGTAGCGAAATCTAGTTTGATAGGAACTAATGTTTTTTTTTAATAATTCCTCATTAGAAATGGCGAATTTGTTATGTCGAACAAAAATTAATGAAAACGAATGCTCAACGAGACGGACGATTCAAGAATAGTGCTCCCGAGCCCCCGCAGAGGGGAAGTAAAAAGGCTGATGACGACGATGACGTAGGAATGAGTCTTTCGCAGAATGAGGTATTATGCGAAAAGGTCTATTAAAGAATAGGTCATTTCGAGAATAGGTCGTTTTTTTTGGCGTAAGCTATTTCGCGAATTGGTACAATATCTACTATTGATTTATTATGATATAGAAATGGTGAATTTGTTATGTCGAACGAAAATCGAGTGAAAACGAGTGCTCGACGAGAATAGAATAGTGTTCCTGAGCCCCCGCAATGGGGACGATGACGTATAAAAGGTACGGCGGCGGCACTGACCGGCGGTGGGCGGCACGGAGACGGCGGCGAGGCTCTGGAACATGCGCACGAGCCCGTAGGAGGAGGCGATGCGCGCGGTGCCGAACGCGTCCGCCAGCAGCACCGGCACCAGCAGGAACCAGCAGCCCAGGCACAGCCCGTACGCACCTGACGCGTGACCGGTGACGGAGAAAGAATACATAACTCACCGCCCCTTCCTTTCCTGTGGGTGTCGTAAGAGGCGACTAAAGGAATTCGAGTTCAGATCTGCTCGCAACTGGTGGTAGGGTTTAATCCCGCCTGGTTAGTTACCACCGTACACACATGGTGAAAAACCCGTGAAGTGCTCGCTCGTAGAGCGCGTTTCGGGATCAGCCAACGTACAACCAGAGCTCGGGACGACGTTGCCGCGATTGTTTGGGTCCGGTGGGTGCCTCCGTCGAACCAGTGCCAGGAGGACTGCATCGACCCGCCAGCCAGGGAGACCCGTAGAAACGGCTGACCGCTGGCCGCCCGTGGTACAGTACAGGGGCCCAAGCGTGCCTAACCAGCTCGTGAGGCTGCCCTATCATGCCACGCATAATCTTGGGGTGGACCGTCGTGCCGGTTGGTGACCGGAGCGTGGGTCCCGGCGGCCACTCCCGGGGGGGTACGGGGGCCCTTCCGTCTGGCGGATCGGTGCTACTCCTCTGTGGGCAACACCTGGGGAAACAGGCGCCCATATTTTTGACTGGAGCAGTCGTGACAATGCCCTCCTGCTTCACGTCCCCTCACCCCTTATCGTTATGGCAGCCACAGCAACACGTTCTGGTCGTACAGCGGTGCACAACCCCACGCCTTCGCTGTTTGAGGTTGAGTTCTCTAATATACGGGGACTCCATGCCAACCTCAATGCTGTCCACCAACACCTAGAGACAGCACGGCCTGCAATGTTGTTTCTGACGGAGACGCAAATTCTCCGCCCGGACGATACAAGCTACCTTCACTATCCCGGCTACGCACTTGAAGAGTCCTTCAAAGCGAAAGCCGGTGTATGCTTGTTTGTCCGGGCGGATGTTTGCTGTCACCGATTGCGCTGCCTAGAGGACCCTTCCTTTTCCCTCCTAGCGGTACATATGGACTTAGGTCATCAGACTCGAGTCTATGTGTGCCTCTACAGATCCCACACTGGCGATGCGGAGACAACTCGACTTTATGACCACCTCAGTCGGGCGGCAGATTACGCGCAGGAGCAGTATCCTAACGCAGAACTGGTTTTCTTGGGGGACTTCAACGCTCACCACGAATCGTGGTTAAGTTCTTCCAAGACGGACCATGCTGGGAGATCAGCCCACGCATTCGCTCTCACGCATGACTTGACTCAAATGGTCGATCAGCCCACCAGGATCCCAGATATAGTCGGTCAAGCGCCTTCCTTACTGGACCTTCTGCTTACGAGCCATCCCGTCGGGTATCAGGTTGATGTTCGTGCCCCACTGGGCAATTCCGACCACTGCTTGATATCCACCAAAGTGCCGCGAATCGAGCCCCCTCAACCTCCGAGGACTCGACGACGCGTATGGCACTATGGCTCAGCGGATTGGGACGGCATGCGCGAGTACCTTGCATCCGTTCCTTGGAAGCAGCGCTGCTTTTGTGAGAAGGATCCGACAACGAGCGCCGTTGCTATTACTGAGGAGATCGGTATTGCTATGGAATACTACATTCCGCACTCCAATCTGATCAGTATGGGCAAACACAACCGCTGGTTCAATCGCGATTGTGCTAACGCTGTTGCGTCTAAACAGCTGGCATATCGAGCTTGGATCAGGGGTCGTGCTCGGAGGGATCCCGATATTGACTCAATAAAAGCGGCCTACAATCAGGCTTCCAAGTCCTGTAAGAGGGCTTACATCAGAGCGGATGCCCAGCGCGTCGCACGTATTGGCCATGAGTTAGTTACGCACCCTACGGGCTCCCGTAGCTACTGGCGTCTCGCCAAGGCCGTGCAAAACAATTTCTGCCAGCCCTCGCTGCCACCGCTTCGATGTCCAGATGGAACATTAGCTCACAAGCCGCAGGAGAAAGCCGACCTCTTGGCAAGCCTCTTCGCGGCTAATTCCCAAATCGATGACTGTAATGCACTGCCACCAACGATACCTTCTTGTGGCTTCACTATGCCTGATATTCATATCAGGCAGCGTGATGTGCGTGCGGAACTACAGTCACTCGATGTCCGGAAAGCTAGTGGTCCTGATGGCATACCTGCGGTTGTTATAAAAATGTGTGCAGCGGAGTTGACTCCCGTACTTACGCGCCTATATCAGCTATCTCTTTCTTCGGGTCGTGTACCTGAGGCTTGGAGAGAGGCCATTGTGCAGCCAGTGCCCAAAAAGGGAGATCGGTCAGACCCTGCAAACTACCGCCCTATAGCTATCACCTCTGTGCTGTGTAAAGTCATGGAAAGGATTATTAACTCCCAACTGATCCGATACCTAGAAGATCACTCCCTTGTAAATGATCGTCAGTATGGCTTTAGACCAAAACGATCAACGGGTGATCTTCTAGCGCACGTCATGCACCTCTGGGGTGAAGCTATAGACAAGCGCGGCGAGTCCTTGGCTGTCAGTCTTGACATTGCTAAGGCATTTGACAGGGTTTGGCACAAGGGACTTCTCTCCAAGCTTCCGGCCTACGGTCTGCCCGTTCAACTATGCGCCTGGATAGCCGACTTCCTGCGTGAGCGTAAAATCCGTGTTCTTTCTGACGGATGCTCTTCGCAGCTTAGGACAGTCAATTCCGGTGTGCCTCAGGGCTCCGTTCTATCCCCTACACTTTTTCTGCTGCATATCAATGACATGCTTCCACTTGGAAATATCCATTGCTATGCAGACGACAGCACAGTGCATGTGGGATATCACGGGGCTCCTACGGTCGGACGGGCGGAAATCCTGGAGAAAAGAGAGAATCTTGTCATTGAGCTCAATCACGTTCTGGATCTCATATCGAAATGGGGTGCTGAAAACCTGGTTGAGTTCAATGCCAAGAAAACTCAGGTCTGCGTATTTACCGCCAAGACCCCCCCATTCCCTTCCCTTCCCTCTCTTCAGGGCACAACCTTGCCTCTACAGAGCAGCATCAACATGCTCGGGATGGAAGTGCGCTGTGATCTGAATCCCAAAAACCACATCGAGTCTGTTATTAAAACAGCATCACGTAAACTCGGTGTCCTGAACAAGGTGCGGCGTTTTTTCACGCCCGAACAACTGTGCCTACTATACAAAACGCAGGTCCGGTCATGCGTGGAGTATTGCTCGCACCTTTGGGATGGCTCCGCTAGGTACTTACTCGATGCTTTGGATAGATTGCAGCGCCGTGCAGTGCGCATTATTGGCAATGGTGAAGTCACCAAGAACCTAGAAAGCCTGCAACTGCGCCGAGACGTTGCTTCGCTCAGCGTCTTCTACCGTCTCTACCATGGTGAATGCTCTGAAGAACTCTTTTCCCTTATCCCCCCATCTCCCTTCCTCCTCAGGACCACACGTGCTGGTTTGCGTTGCCACCAACTAACTGTGGCAACGATTCCTTCGCGTACAAAGAAATTTGGCGACTCATTTCTTTGTCGTACTTCCAAAAAATGGAATTGTCTCCCGGCCCATGTATTCCCTCCATCCTATGACATGGGGTCCTTCAAGCGGGGCGTGAAGAAGCATCTTGCAGGTCGGCAAGGTGAGGTTGGCTAGTGCAGTACCTACGTACTGTTTTACACTAGCTGTCCTCGCGTTTGGACTGCGCCTCCACTTACCATCAGGTGGAGCGCAGTCCAATTGTAAATCAAATTGCTAGATGGCGGTGTTCTCAGCTTATTTATATATTTTTATTTCGAAATCGATCGTTAGGTGGCACTGTTCTTGTTTTATTGATATCTTTTAATCTTCTACTCTATGCATTTGTTTTGTGTACACAATGACGTCATGAATATGAAGGACAGCCTTTTCGCGGGTGTAAAAAAGTTTTTTAATTTTGATTTTTATATTCAAGGCAGGAAAACGTGTTTATTTTTATGAAATATTTGTTATGTTCGAATCCACTCATGTCATCTTATCCACGAATGTTTAAATAGGGATGATGATTAAATTTTGTTTGTTTGTCCGTCAGGTAGAGTGTTAAAAAATATTAAACACGTATTTTTTAATTTCTTTCGTATTCATAAAATTACGTCGTTAAATTGAGTTGAAATTTCGCATGACGTCACGTTAGAGTACGTTTTCTACTCAACTGTGACGTAGCGAGCCCCCACTCCTCAACTTTAATGCCTGTTATCTAAGCTATTTCTTGTTAAATTGAAGTACAAAAAAATACGTATCTAATATTTTTCTATTATCTGACTGACGGACTAAATAGAATTGCATTTTTTTTTACCCAGTCATCTTTCCTATTCTATTGATTCCCCCTTTTGTGTATAAAAATACAAAACTACATTTATTGACCAAACGCGTCTCATACATTCTATCACGGTGTTTGTAGTGTACATCTGTTCCACAGGGATGTGGTTGAACAATGCTGCATCTAAGCGGGATACCAGGAACTGTTGCTGAAGGGTGAGGGGTTTCAAGTGAAACGGGGAACATGTATATTGCACAAAAATCGATTACTCATTAAATAAATAAATAAATATTATGTGGTCTAAGCCCCCGTTTTATGGAGTATCTGAGACAACGAAAGTAACCAGACCCGAGTCAATATAGAAAAGTTCATTTTCTACATTGACCCGACCGGGGATCGAACCCGGGACCTCAGAAATTGCGACACCTTGAAACCGGCGTGCGAACCACTCGGCTACGGAGGTCGTCATTAACAATTTGTATTGCAGCACTTAGCTCATATATTAGACATTATAAGTTAAATTTAAGCGTAATCGTTTTATCTTTGAATGGGATTGCGATATATTTTTAAGTTAACCCACTGATCCGTCAGTGCGATTGTTATTTTTCTTACCTGATGCTATTGCCAATGACCACCATGAACTCATACTAGGTAGGGTCAGCACAGCAATACCAGCTATCAAGATGCTGTAACAAAAACAAATACTTCATTGTAACCCCCTTTATAAAGAATGTTCTTAAATAATCTTAATCAGAATATTCTTAGATAATCTCAATCAGAATGTTCTTAGATATTCTTAATAAAAAATGCTTAAAAAATCCACTTTGTCCCTGACACCCTGATATGAGATTCGAACCTATGACTTTTAGCAATCCGTGCGACTGATCTAACCACTGAGCTACCCAGGACCTAAAAGGACTGATGGATCTTTAAAGCACTTATTACTATTTCACTACTGCAGAGCGTATTTTCATCAATGTTCATGCAATCCACCCAAACAGCCGAAAGAAGTATATTTACAAATATTTAAACTTTAGATAAAGATGAAAATTTTTAAGCATTTTTCATTATATGAAATAATGTTCTTAGATGTGCTACATCAGAATGATCTTAGAAATACTCAATCAGAATATTCTTAGATATTTGCGGTCAGATTGTACTTAGATATTCTCAATCAGAATAAGAATGTTCTTGCGTATTCTTTCAATGATCATGAACTTCATGAGAATTCATCGGCTGTTTCTTTGTAAACTTCAGTAAATAATAATTACACAAGCTGTTTATAATTAAAACTTGCTTTTAGTTTAAATTATCTCAGCGTACAGACAGCGGGAAATGACATCGTTTTATATAATGTAATATAATTTTCTTTTTAAACAAAAATTAAATAAGTTTCTAGAACTACAACAAAGTCTAGAAGTTACATTTGTTTTTTTAACTAAACAGCAGCTTTTTAGTAACAGCTTTTTAGTAAAGACCGATATTTTAATAACTCCAACTTCATCATCAGCCTTTTTACGTCACTGCAGAGGCCCAGGCCTTCCTTATGGATAGTTTAGGAGGACGGGCCATGACCCTCCACTAGGGCCCAATGCGGATTGGTTATTGTTAACGACATTAAATGCAGCCGGGACCAGTTAAGCACTTTAGGTCGCAGGAAAAAAAATTTTCGGTCACCCATCCCGTGAGTGGCCATAGCGAAAGTTGCTTAACAGCAACGATCGCGGGCCGCGGTGATACTACTCTTACTCACCTTAAAATATATGCTTTCTTTCTGCAAAACAGATGCAAATCACACAAATAGCCGAGACCTAATCTTCCACAAAGGTCCAACACTGCGCTGATTGCTACAAGATGTCCTGGAATAGAAAAAAAAACACTGCCAATAGGGAATATGCGTCTGATTCAAAAAAGGCTTAAATATATTTTATTACAATTGTTATTGCTTTAGAATAAAGTCCATCTAAATATTTTTCAACATTAGTTCGTTTTCGTCTTGAAGATAATTATTAAAAAGGGCAAAAAAAGATGCGGTAACTTCAAAATATTCAAACGCCATGCCACTTGTCAGAGCGGATGTGACGAAAATGTACACGTATAGGGATGTCGTTGTTACAAAAAGTTGACATCGATGCAATAATATCAAAGTATTAAGTCGCAAAATAAACAACTGATTACAATTTTAAATGATTTTTTAAGCTTTTTATTTATATTTCACCACTTTGGTTTACCAAAGTATCGGTAAAATAGTTTACTATATGAGTTTTTTAAAAAGTCCATTGTATATTAAAAAAACGATTAGTTGTTAATCGATTTGGGTAATTGAATAATAATCGATCACTCAAACTCCAGATTGATTTAAAGTGTCACATCTCTAGTCGTGTACTTTGACGTCACGACGAGCGCGCCAAAAATTCAGGCTTGATTTATGAAAATGACATGATTTATGTAAATTAAAAATTCAATTTACATAAATCATGTCATTTTCATCAATGATTAATGTTACAAAATTTTAGTTTTTCGGTGCCGGGTATTATTTTACAGTTGTATATCGATGTAAATTATCATATAAAACCATTTTCCAAAAATGTGCATATTCCCTATTCTATTACAGTGCTAATAATAAACAAGGTTTAGCGTCAAAGTTAATTTACGCTAAAATTGCAATATTAGTATCAGTCCAATTTCATATTATATAGATAATAAGCAAAACTACCTTCTAGAAGTAATATTACTTCCATAGAACCTCGCCAAGCCAAGTAAACCTTTGCCAAGTCTCTGTCTAATAATATGAATTATGACTAATACTGGAAAAATGAAATTGAAAATATTTTTATTCAAGTAGGCTATTACAAGCACTTTTGAATCGTCCAAAAAATTTTCCCCCACCATTCGTTCAGGACGTCTTTTAGCTGACAAGAAGAACAAGCGAAAGAAACTTACCAGCTCTTTATCATAAGCAATGACATTTACATAAATCATGTCATATATGTACCAACCTATGTCCTACAGACTTTGAAAGTTGTATTTAATACATATTATTTGGTAACATTACCAAAATAATATGTACCTCGTACTAGGTAAACCTTTGCCAAGTCTCTGTCAAATAATATGAATTATGACTAATACTGAAAAAATGAAAATGAAAATATCTTTATTCAAGTAGACTATTACAAGCACTTTTGAATCGTCCAAAAATATTTTTTCCCCTACCACTTGTTCAGGACGTCTTTTAGCTGACAAGAAGAATAAGCGAAAGAAACTTACCAGCTCTTTATCATAAGTAATGACATTTACACAAATCATGTCATTACCAAAATAATATGTATTATCACAATAATAAATACAACTTTCGAAGTCTGTAGGTCATAGGTTGAACATATAATTAGTCGTTATAGAACAAAGCGAAGGCTATTAAAGTGCAGTCTCAGCGTAAACTTACTCTAACGCTATAATAACACTATTAATATTTATATAGGCTGATTCTATAATAGCATCTCCAGAAATCTCAACTACTCTAGCATTTTCCCACTGTACTATCTACCTGAAGTCAGGGCCACGTAGCAAAATCAAAAATAAGCGATGCTTCTAACTAAACTTATATTTTTAAGTAAAACTCAAGACACAGATTTATTGTTTTGTGTTGGAACGTTAAGGACGATCTGTTCCGGTGGAGGGGGGGCTTTAAAAAATATAATATAAAGTTGCAATTATTTTGGGGAAGGGCGCCATACGAAGTTTCTGCCTCAGTTAAAAAAAGAACCTCTCGAAAAGAACCGGAAAGAAACTCAGCAATAGCAGCTTTTCTCTGCATGTTTTATTTTATACAATTACGTTGAATTAGAAAATACCACTCTCCACAGAATCCCTACGGCGTGCGCTTGTGTGTGTGTGTGCAAGTGTTTATTTGTGCTGTGTGTGAGTGTGTGGGTGCGTGTGTAAATGTTTGTTGGTGTGAGTGTGTAGGTAAGTGTTTGTCTCTCTCTGTGTGTAAGTGTTTGTTTGTGTGTGGTGTCTCGCTCTGTTTGTGAATTTTATAAAAATGTATATATTTAATAAAAGTTTATAGGAACGTGCAATATAGAATAAAACATGATTACGTGTTTTATTATAAACACATATATTTTATTATACTGTTAATGAATATTTAAACGACAAAACTGCTTGGAGTTAAATATGGCAAATTTTTCATATATATTAAATTATTAATCGGTGAGTTTCTTTGGCTACACATGTGATTGGATTGACGAAAATACTGTTTTACTCTAATATTGTGTAACATTGTAATGGAAAGTGACTTCAAATTTTAATGAAGTCATTTTTCAACCTTGACGCTCTGTGTGAAATAAAGACAGGGAGAAAAAAGCAGCCTTTGCCGAGTTTCTTGCCGGTTCTTCTCGGTACAAGGTCTCCCGCCGTAGATTTACGAGCCGATGGCGTAGCTCTCGACTTTCACGAGAGCTTGTAACAGCCTAGACTGAATAAATAATTTAGAAATTACAATTTTTTTAATTTTTGAACTTTGTTATTGGGCGTGCGTGATTGAGTGAATGAGTGTGTTCTGTAAGTATGTTTGTGTGTATTAGTTATTACTTTAAGTATTACCAGCTGCTCCTTTAGTGTGTCCAGCGGATACAGCATATGCTGGTAAATAATATAAGGCGTACGGCGACCCGCAAGACATCAGCGCAACAGACGCGCACAGCAAACCGAAACGCCACGACTTCAAGAGGGAGACGTCTAGATATCTGAAAGAGAAGAAATGCACCATTCTTATTAGCTTTTAACTTTGATACTTCAGTATAAGGTATCCCAAGGTTGGACCATTTATAATTATTTTGTATATGTTCTATGTAGTGAGCGTCGATATAAGATGCCTCAAGGATTAATATTAGGGCCTCGTTTATTTTAGAGAATTATTGTTTTTAAGCGAAGAGTGGCTAGAACCTAGTGAGAGATAAGATTTAAAATAACATTCGATGCACCAAGAATAAATATCAGGACTTGACAATTATTAAGAGTTTGAGATGAGCCGGAAGCTGTTATTCTTTTTCAATTAAAGAATTGGCAATATTAAGCCTTAGGTATCAGACAATCTTAAGGTGATTTGGGACTAAATTGAAGTTAAAGTTAAGTGATAATTCTGGAATTAACCTTGAAATCTTCTCTATGCACCCTCTCTTCATTTCCTTTTCTTCTGTGATGTCTTCTTTCTGTACTTCTTGCTGCTTCACAACTATCGGCTCTGACAGCTTGTTTTGTGTCAAACGACTCGGCAGTGGTGGTCGGATGTATAAAGACCTGGGAAAGAGGATATAATTATAAATAAGGCAAATATTTCAGTAGCTCGGTGGCATAGTCGATAATCGCCGCGGCCCGCAATCGTTGTTGTTAAGCAACTTTCACAAGGGTCAGTCACGGGATGGGTGACCAAAAATGTATTATTTCTCACTACTACCATATTTCGGAAGGCACTTTAAGCCGATGGTCTCGGCTGCATTTGCAGTTAATGCATTCCAATCATAATAAAAACTTATTTAAACTCGACTAAAGATTGCAGTTGGCATCCAACTCTTTCGTTTGATATTTTTCATAGCATTCAAAGTAATATTTGCGTTTAATGCTTTATCATCATCATACCTCAGACCTTCCTCAGGTTAATGAGGATGGGCTATGATCCTCCACGCAGCCCCAATGGGGATTGAAGACTGCAAATACAGCCGGGACTTAACGTGCTTTTTTAAGCACCGGAGGAGATCGAGATAATAATTTTTCTGTCACCCATCCCGTGAATGACCTTTGCGAAGGTTGCTTAACAATAAAGATCGCAGGGTCGCTTGTGCCCCATCCCTAAGTAAGTGCTGGGCACCATGACCACTGACCTGCTTATCTTTCGTCTGCTCGCTTTGTATACACATGTGCTGTCAGTTGACAGGTCTTCGACTGAATGTAATATTGATGAAGAACGCGTAGGTCTCAGGCGGAGCTTAGCCACCTCTCGAGGTAGACCTGGAAAGCGATTTACCAATGCCAGCGTTTTACAACTTTTTGAATACGACCCGTGGCCTAATAGCCTAATTTCAGAATCTGTCACAATCCTTTTGGAAGATATTCACAAACTTCGCGCTACAATTATTAGACGCGTAATAGCGATGAGGTATTATTAAAAAAAACATTAGTTCCCGAAATCAAACTAGATGTCGCTACGGTACTTTTTGATTTCTCCATGACAACCCTTCCGGTTTTCTTTCATGCATAAAAGTAAATTAATTTTCAAAACTCAATAAACAACTCATATTCTATTTGTACTCCTTCGTATTTGTATTGATATCTAAGTTTCGAACTTTGCAAAAGTTCGCTTATTAGAGACAAAAGTCGCATATAGAATCGTGTAAGGAATGTTTAAAATTTATATTCTCACCGACTACTCCAAGCACGTCCATCACTTCAGAGTCTTCTGAATCCGAATGCTGCGTTTGCGACTGTCGTGTGACCTACGGTAAAATAAACATGTAGTGCTATGGTTAGCACAAAGAACTACGCACTGCTTTTTTAAAATACATCATCATCATCATCATTATCATCATGATCATCATCATCATCATCATCATCATCATCATCATCATCATATTAGCCCTTTTACGTCCTCACTGCAGGGGCTCAGGCTTTCTTTTTGGATGGCTAAGGAGGATGGGCCATGACTGCAAATGCAGCCGGGACCAACGGCTTAAAGTGCCTTCCGAAGCACGGAGTAGCTCGAGATAATATTTTTTTTGGTCACCCATCCCGTGACCGACCCTTGCGAAAGTTGCTTAACAACAACGATCGCGGACCGCGGCGCTTATCTACTACGCCACAGAACTACTCTCTTTAAAAATACGCGAGCTCCTTTTACCGGCGTCGAACTCCCGTCACACGATTAAGTCACAAAAAAAAATATGGCCGATAATGATATTAATCTGACAGCTATCACTATTTTTTTTTATAGGACTTGAAAAATCTTGTTTTTCTATCAATACAGTATAATAAAATGACCAATAAAACGACCAATAGACGCGGGAAATTTACTATAACTCCGAGCGAAGATGAGTTTTTTTTTTTATAATTCTCTATGGCTTCGAACAGTTTGTACATATAGTCAGTATCAAGTAAATAATTTGGATCAAGTTTTGCTCAAATCGAGTTCAAAATTTTTCAAGTAAGTCATCCGTCCGTTAGTCATGTCAAGAGCTCTGGTATAGTGGTGGAACAATACCAAAACCATTTCAAGCGGAGTAATGGAGCAACACAAGATATCACAACAACGGAATCGAGTTCCACCTTCCCTACAATAGTACAGTTTCACTACACTAAATTTAATAAAACTCCACTAAAATTATGCAATTTAAGTCGAATTTAACACTATTTTTCAGAACATGGAACCCTAACCACAAGCTGCGTTATAAAAATCCTGCTATTACTTCTAGATGAGCCTTTTTACTCAGTTCACCCACAACCGTCTATGGCCGCGACGCGCGCGTTAACAAACCACTTTAATATTTGTGTTTCCACTGTTTTAATTGATTCTTATGTATTGTAAAACTGTGAATACACCTGTTGAATAGTAAAATGTATCTAGAACTCTTATTTAAAACCCAATACATACATAAACACCTTACAAGCAGATCTAAACGTACCAAATAAAATGTTTAGAACTTTAGGAGATTGTGGTTCCATTAATAAAGATGCCCGGTTCCATTAATAGAGTTTCGGTAGTGAAAAAATAAGTCACGACATTGCACAAAAACTAAAATTTACATCGTAAGTAATAAACAATAGAGATTCCGATTTTGAGTCTTAAAATTGCACGGTTATCTTATTATTTTAAAATTAAAAGTCGAGATTTTTTTGTGTGATCTGTATGTCACGTGACTTGAAACATGACCCGCCATTGTGTGACGTCATTGTGGCGACAGCTGTCAGATTAGTCATAAACATACTTATTGTAAATCAAATTCCTAGATGGCGCTGTTCTTAGCTTATTTATATCCTTTTATTTCGTAATCGATCGCTAGATGGCACTTTTTTTGTTTTATTGACATTTTTAATTTAGATATAACGCGTTTATACAGGTAAAAATAAAAATAAATTTTGATTAATTTTAAGGCAAGAAAACGTGTTTGTTTTTCCGATATATTTGTTTTGTATAATATTTGTCAAAATAAACACTCATAAATACTATTTTAAACAGAGTAGACTAGTACCCTATTATAACCTATGTCAACTGTATATGATGTAGCTTTACGTAGAGGAAATTTTCAAATGAAAGATGAATTTCTCTCAGTATCAACTTATATATCTTTGAATGCCATTTTTGTAGATTTCTGAATTGAAAAAAATACAAATCTGAACTGATTATCATCAATAACTTAAGTTTTTTTTTTTTTTTTTCACGAGGCAAAATGTTCGATTTTTTTATTAAACTGCTCATTGATCATTAAAAAAAACTAAAGTTCCTAAAAGTAAACCTGTTTTAATACAGTTTGAGACGTGCATAACTTTAAATACCTCTATTAAACTGGGATGCATGATTTCCGTGATAAGATTACTTCTTTTGGCCTCTTCTGTGAGTAACGCGTTCTTGTGATTCAGTGACAACTCACTGTCCGGATGTTGAAATAGATTCTGCAGCCGATTGTCTTTACTTTCCATTTTACCTGTGCCATAAATATTTATAGTTAAAAAGAAACAGTATATTAACATAGCAAGGTAAACAGTTCTAGAATATAACATTAACACAACATGATGTATATTTAAAAAATTTTTTTTTTCGAAAATATGGCTACTGTGTAATATTTTTAAGCAACCATAATTTATCTCCTAGACGTTATATAGAAGATTCCAAGATGGCGCTGTTCTTACTGTCACTGTTTTCTTTTTAATTGACATCTTTTAAAATGTATATTTGTAAATAAATAAATAAATTTCTGATTGACGTCATGAATGTGCCGCCATTATTTAATTTAAAAAGCTTCTGGCTATTATTTTAGCGGTAATTAAGAAGTTTAAATATTGATTTAATTTTAAAACTTGAAAACGTGTTTATTTATCGAAATATTATTATGGCTTTTTAAATTAAATGCTTACTAGTGTTTTCTTATACAGACCCATATTTTGAGAGCAAGTGAATATGTTTTTCACTTGCTCTCAAAATATGGGTGTAGAAAATAAATACATATTATATTTTTTCTGGTAGTGTTTAATATACTTTTGCCGATAATCACTTTTAAGCTTCTTATAATCATAATATTACTTAAATCGATTATGAAAAACAAATATTTTATCACGTGACCGCAAACGGCGTGTGACGTCACGCCCCTCTTACTCATATCAGAATTTTTAGTTTATTCAACATTATGCTTACGACACAAGTTTTAGAGGAGCATGACGTCATGGCGATGCTATGACAGCAGTTGGCAAAAAATATCGATATGTATCGTATCGATTTTCTGTAAACATTGACAAGATATTCGAAATTCTAAAATAAATACACATCTGGCTGTCTGTTTTGACATCAGTTTTATTATTAGAAGCAAAAGAAAATAAACCCATACCATAGTATAAATATATAAGTAGGTGCACTCGAGACTCAAACGAGAGATAATAGCCTAAACATGTAGGGCTGTCGCTTATACGTTATTTAATCGTCAGAAATACATGGTCAATCAATCTCTAAAATATAGTTTCCCCGGTATGGTAAGCATCCGGAAACTATAATACAAATTTTTAATGTATTTTTTTTACATATACATATAGACCAGACTACAATTCCTTTCATACCTACGTCATATCATCAATTTAGTATTTTGTAAAATGAAAGCGTGGTTTTAATGAATTATGTATTTATTCATTTTTTTTCAGGCTACGAACAAAATAAGATAATGCCGATCTTAATTTTTAATACTCATATGCTTTGTACAAACAATTTTTATCAATGGCCCATATATTTTTATATTACATTGTCTAATACGCAAATATACAATTCAATATCAATTTAAATTTGACCTTATACCGGCATAGAGATTTAACAAATTAAACTACAAATTGATATCTAGTAAACAAACTCTTTAGCAGAAATAATTCATAAATACTTTCGATGGGTAAATAGTTACACAATACCACAGTGTAAATATAAGTATACAGTGGTGAAACTGCCTACAAACGTTCGAAATCGCACGCACACATAAACACGCTCACCGACGAGCCGCCTAAGTGGACCTAACAGGACGCTCAGTAACGCGTAGCGCGTCGAGATGAGGGGTCACGTTATATGTTCTGCGATCGTTTTTATTTAAAAAAATGAAGGAAAGATTAAGGAAAGGAGTAGGCTTATATGAAATAAAAAATAAGATTTTTGTATGATCTGGAAATATATTTTAGTCTGGAAATATATTTTAACCGCCCAGTTTTCACATATGTTATTTCTATATCATGTGGTGATAATAGAATAATATAAGTAGATATCACCGTCTGAACAAATGTGTATGTATATTGTTTGTTTGTTAATTAGTTATTACAATTCGATTGATTGATAATGTCAGAACTCCTTTTATATTTTGTAAAAGAAACATTCAAAACGACAACCCTATGGTTTCAATGGAGCGTAGGTATTTATTTTACCAAATAGGCTTAGTTTCTATACTGTGTCATTCTTATACTGTGACAATACGACGCATACGCACGGGCGCGCTCACATACAAACCATTCTCGGTGCGTATGTATGAAAAGCACTTACTCTTATACTCTGCCTATACGACCTACCTACTCTTTTTCTAATTTTAAGAGATCGGATTGGTCGGATACATTATGTGACACATAAACAGGCAGCAGAACATTAAAAAATATATCGATCTTGATACGAATTTAATATCCGCAAAAC